GAGCACAGGTGAGGCCAACCTTCAGTGATCACTTCCTCTTCCCGAGCTTCTCAGGTCTGGGGCTCTCTCTCTATGAAAATCTGCTTTTCCCTGAGAGTTTTGGCATTTTAACAGGTCTTAATTTAAGTTAATTCAAATTAAATAAACTTACAAATGCAGTCACTGTTGCACTGGGCACATTTCAAGGGCTTGCCAGCTACACGTGCTCAGCGGCTCCGCCTCAGTCAGGGCAGATGTCTAACGTGTCCACCGTCACAGGAAGCTCTCCTGGACAGCGCTGGAACTAACGGCATGAGGCCGCTCTGGGCTTGGAGTTAGGAAATCTAGATCCTAGTTCCAGCTTAGCTCTAGTTCATGCTGTTTATTTTATTTAAAAAAAAAAAAAAAAAAAGATTTGGGCAGCCTGGATGGCTCAGCGGTTTAGCACCACCTTCAGCCCAGGGCATGATCCTGGAGACTCAGGATGGAGTCCCACATTGGGCTCCCTGCATGGAGCCTGCTTCTCCCTCGGCCTGTGTCTCTGCCTCTCCCTCCGTGTCTCTCATGAATAAATAAATAAAATCTTTTTTTTAAATTTTTATTTATTTATTTATTTATTTTTAAAGATTTTATTTATTTATTCATGAGAGACACGGAGGGAGAGGCAGAGACACAGGCCGAGGGAGAAGCAGGCTCCATGCAGGGAGCCAGATCCCAGGACCCCGGGATCACGACCTGAGCTGATGGCAGATGCTCAACCCGAGGCCCCCTGGAGGCCTTAGTTCATGCTGTTTAAACAAGTCCCTGTTGCCTCTCAGAGCCCCAGGTCCTCCATCTGGGCCTATCCACCCTCCGTGGGAGGCAGAGCACAGTCCGTGCTGGATGGGGACCATCTGATGGATTCTATGACCCCAGGGCCTTGGATCAGGCCTGGGTGGAAACAGGTGAGTGGGCGATGCACCGCTGATGTAGAGGCTGAGGGACCCACCTGCCCCCTCCAAGCTCCAGCAGCTCCAGAAAATACTCTGGGGTCCAACGTTTGTCAGGCAAGCCTCCCTGCGTCTCAGCGTCTCAGCCCCTCATCTGCAGGTCAGCAGAGCCTGAGCCGGGGCGGCCTTACTGGGGGGCGTGGGGGGGGAGTGCGGCATGTGTATCTCCCCAGGCTTACTCAGGCCTGGGGAGCCCGAAGACCCCCAGACCAGGCACTCATCCCGCCGGACCAGGCAGGGCCCTGGGCGGAGGCAGCCTGGAGGAGGGCGGTCCGAGGGGAGGGAGGCGCAGCGGAGTCAGAAGTGCGCTATCAGCACCGTCCTCCCCACTTCCTCTCTTGAACGGATCACATCCTGTTATTGTGCGGACAGAGAAGGCCAGGAGCTGGGGAGGGAGGCAGGGTTCAGACCAGTGAGCGGGAGGGAAAGGAGGAGCCCGAGGGAATGTCAGGGGCGTCAGGTAGCTCGAGGCTGGGCGGGAGGAGCGCTCCTCAGAGGGAGGATCAGCATCCCCGGAGCACCTCCTATCTGCCCCTGAGCCAAGATGCCAAGATCCCCAGGATCCGGCCAGGCTGTGCCTCCCTGCTCCCTGCAAAGGCACCGACTCACAGGAAGTGGTACCTTCTTCCAGAAGCCTTCCACAGCCTCCTCCTCAGGCTCTTTTCAATTCAGTTTACTCTGGGTCTCCAGGGCCAGAGTGGGGTCTCCCAGGGCCCCGGGGCCTCTCTCTCCCAACACTTCCCTTTGGGTGGTGGTGCTCTGCATCTGCTCCCCTTTACCCAGCTGCACCCGGCCCTGGCCCTGGCCCCCAGCTGTCGCTGGCTCCCCAGCAGTGGCCAGCATGCCCCAGGACCCCAGGAGTCCCTGCTGCCGTGCCGATTACTGTGCCCACTGCCCCCACCCACCCTCTCTCCCTTCTGCCATTCCCAGGCTAGCCCTACCCCAACCCCATTTCCAGCAATAACAGTGGCTCTTTCTATAAAACACAACCACCTTACGTTAGATTATTTTGAAATCCCGTGACAGCTCTGGAAGGTGGGAGTTAGCATTTTCACTTCAGAGATTACAAAACCGAATGAAGCTCAGAAAGGGTAAGTGATTTACCCAAAGTCACACAGCAGTACAATCAGTGATAGTCTTGGAACTTAAGCCCAGGTAAGTCTGACCCCCAAGGCCAGGCTCTTCCTGCGGCCCAGCTGCCTTTGTTGCTCTTTCCCACCCACATCCGGGCCTCTCCCTCCCTGAACTGACACCACATCAAGTGTCCTTCCTGCCTGTCCTCAAGCCGAGCCTGTTGCTCCAGGCAAGCCCTCCAGCGTCCGCACTGATCGCTCTGGTCCCAGGGAAAAGGCTGGACGAGCCGAGCTGTCATCTTCCCCAGCAGTGCAGCGCAGACCTGTCTGCTCAAGGACACCAGCTACGTATTAGCTATTTCTTCTTCCCCTCTTGAAGGGCGGTGAGCACTGGCTCTGGACTCGGACCTGAATTCAAATTCTGCGTAACCTCGGTGAAACCCCCCATGGCCTCTCTAGGCCTCATTTCCTTCTCCAGACAACAGAGAGAACGCCCTCGGTGACCCTGACTTACTCCGTCCCTACTCTGACTCCTGAGGGCCGGGCGTCCACTGCAGGACGCAGTGCCCTGCACCATGCGCGTCCTCAGGTCGCTGGTCAGAGGTGCTTGCCCGGCTCACAGGGCTGTTGTGCAAGCAGAGAAGGGGGAGAGGACAGCACAGGAGGCAAGGCTGCCATGACGGCATGGACAGACAGCCTCCTGATCCTCATCAGCGCCACCTCACCCCACCCGGGCCAGTATGATAACGGGGCTGCAGGGGCCCAGCCCAAGAAAGCTCACACCCTACCTCCCCACCAACAGAAGCAGCCAAAGGGGCAGAGCTATCCGTCCTTAATGAGGCCAGGACTGTGGTTTTAGGCTGTGGGGGGTCGGGGGAGGTGGGGATGACCCAGCCCCCTGCTACCCTCCCTATGTCCCCCCTCCACCCTCTCCATGCGCCCCCTTTTCCCTGCTGGCCTCAACGCTGAGCTTGAGAGTTCCGTGCATTATATTGAGAGGGTCCCGTGCTAGATCTGCCTTGGGGGCTGGAGGCCAAGAGACATCAGGCCTGGTCTGGCCCTGGAGGGGCTTGTGTTTGAGCGGGGAAATGGACGAGTGGACAAACATTAGCCAGCACTGAGGGAAGGGGGCCCCACGGCGTCAGGGCAGTCTTCCGGATGCTGGGGACAAGTAGCCAGATCGAAGGAAGACAGACACAGATGACAGATGGATAGATACAAAAAGTGCAAAACTGGATGGTTACACACACACACAGGCAGTGGGACAGAAAGGAGGGTATAACAGGAGCAGAGGGCAAAAAGGGCAGAAGGGCAAGAACACAGCCCCTCCCCCGAGGTGGGCACAGCACGTCCTGGGAGGCAGGAAGCCTCGTCCTGCCCACCTGCCCCTGTCATCATTATCATGGGGTGGGTGGCCCTGGGAAGGCGCCTTTCCTCTTTCGGCCTCAGTCTGCCCACCTGGAGATGGGGACATTAGCCCACACGACCCCCAAGGGCCTGGCCCCCTTGGGCTGCCTCACAGCCTCTGCCTAGTGGCCACAGGGTCAGGTCGTCCCGACCTCTCCACAGGTGGACTGCCTTGCCTGCTCCTGGGAAACGTCCTTCTGGAAACGGGTGCCCCTCCCTTCCCATTCTTCTCCTCCCCTGATGCCGATGTGGTCTGAGCCATCAGTGACCGCTGCGTTGGGCTTGGCTAACCACTTCCTCAACCCGGAAACCCCTCTTACTGTAGCCTCTGAAATGTTACTGTCCTGTGCACAATCTCTCTCCCTCCCCAACCTCTCCACCCTCTCCACCCTCTCCACCCTCCCGGGGGACTAGGTCTCAGCATCCTATCTGCCCAAGGGCTTCCTTGTCCTGAGCCGGGGAGAAGCACACTCGGGAGGCTTCCAAAAGCCCGGGAGCATCCCTATAGGCCAGAGCAGGATTCCCAAGCTCTGCCAAGCCCTGGGCAGCCTAGCTATGGCTGGAAGCTTCCTAGGACAGAGGCAGCCAAAATCAAAGCCTGGCGAGATGAGCAAGGCTGACCCCAGAGGAACCAGGGTTATCCATGGGCCCCCTTGAGTTCCCTTCTGGGCACATCTTTTTTCCCTAATACTAATCACCCTCTAATGTGCTGTATCCTTACTATACCAATGCCATAATCAACATATCTTCTATGCTCATGTGTGTCCGTGTGTTTACGGTCTCCCTGCTAGTATTCAAGCAACACAAGAACAGGGATGTTGGTTTTCTCCACTGTTGGATCTCTAGTACCTAGAATAATACCTGGCCCATTGTAGGGACTCAAAAAATGTTGTTGAATGGATGAAAGGACTGGCACTCCATTGGAAATGCTGACCTACTGAGGTCCCTGGAGTTCCAACAGTGCATATGCAGAGCACCAACCACCCCACAACCCCCCGCCCGCTGCCGCCATCCCAGAACCCAGAGCCCTTGGCTGTACTGGCATTCCCATTCCTAAGCCTCCATTCACTGACCACTACCCCCAAAGCCTCAGCCTGTCCCAGAGCCCTGTGTGAGACCTGCACTGCCCCCCCCACCCCTGAAGAGCAACACACGTAAGAGTGCAGCCTCCCTTTGAGTCACTGGGGCACCTGGGATCCTCCTCTGCTGGCAGTAACTTGATCTGTCCTGAACCTATGATAAAAGCAACCACCCCGGCCCGCCGTGGGAGCTGAACCCGACACAGAGGGGACCGTCTGTGGGATGGCCCTGAGCCCAAAGTGTGGGTGCAAAATGCTCAGAAGAGTCCCCTTCTGTGAGGCCAGGCAGAGGGAAAAGAATGGAACCCTGAGGGGGGGGGGGCTCAAGGTATGGGCCAGGATCCCACCCTGAGAGGACAGCTGAGTCCTGGAAACCCCTCCATTTCAGGAGAGAGAGACTCTTGCCAGGCCCTTCCTTTCACAATCCCAACTCCCAGGCGTGGCCATGCAAGATGCAAGGACAGAGTCCAGGCCCCTCTGTAAAACTTTTATTTAGAAATCTTCCCAATATATCCTTATATATATACACACACATCATCACCACAAGGGTTGTGTCGCTAAAGAGTCACGCCCACAGTGTTGGCCTCCGGGCTGTACAAAGGTCGAGGTACCTGGAGCGCTTACTCCTCTTCTGCAGAAAAATGCAGAGACCAATGCAACGCATCACGTACAGTACAACAATGAAGGAAAGTGCTGGGCCCGCCCATAGGAACAATGCGCTATGTACACGGGCATGGGCGAGCCTTCGGCGGGGGGCCACGTACCATCGAAATCACAAGTACGACCAGACCACCCCCAAAGGCCGAGATAGTTGTCGGCTGACTACAGATGCTGGGCCCTTTGTTCTGTTCTCAGAAAAGGATAAAGGTTGTACCATCTTGTCGTTTGCCACCACCGATAAAAGCATATGAATTTTCCCGAAAAGATGGGAATCCCTCCAGTCCTCACAATCATCTCTGTTCTCCTCGCTTTTTTCCCCCTTTACATCCTTTCCTCTAGCACAGATATTATTCTCGGAATGTTGTCATTTCTTCGTAGGTGATGAGGCGGAGGAAGAAGAAGGGTGTGCTGGAAGGGGTGGGGAGGTGGGTGCAAATGAAAGTTCAAATTTTGGATCTTCTGTAGGTCTTACAAAGACATGAGGCTTTGCCCATCCCGACCCGGGCCCATTTGGGGAAGCTGTAATGTCTTACACATTTTGCCCATATCTTTTTCCATTCTCATTCCTGTGCCTTCCCTTGGAAGGAGACACAAATGAGGTCAATCTGGAGAAATGAGGACAATCAGGAAAACTCAAGCAAAAGAGGTTTGGAACCTAAATTACCCAAGTGCTGCACAGTCAGGCAGACTGGCCCACTGCCCAGGCCCTGGACTCAGGATGGGAAGCCCCACTGCAGGAATGATCCTGAGGGCAAGAGTTCTTTCTGATCTCAAAATGCTTCTGCTTTCATGATTCCACTTGGTCTATACCACTGCCCTAGGAGACAGGCCAAGCCAGGGTATTTCTGAAAAACTGACATTGAGAAGGTAACTTATCCATGTGATTCTGCATGTCTGAGAGAAGAGGAAGCCAGAAGCTTGAGTTCCCGGTAGAATGTGTGATCCATCTCCCAGCACCTCTCCATCCATCCATACTGTGGCCACTTTTCACTCCCAAGTCAAATTAATCCACCAGGAAGCAAACGCAGCCTTAGGACCCGGGACAGGTGCTCCATCTTTAGACAAATGGGCTTCCTCACAGGAGCTTCCAAAGTATTGCAAAGAAACCAGTCCTAATTTCATCAAGATATGATGTTGGGGGTCTGAAATGGACTGGGGGTCTGAGTGCTCCAAAGATTACCATGTTGCTCCCCTACTCATAAACTGGACCCCACAACTTAAGAGGGCGGGGAGGGAGCCGGCCTCATGCCCTGTCTGCATAGAGACTGTTTTCCCTCTAGCCTCAAAGACGAAGCCTCGTGAGAGATGGCTGTGGTGACTTGAGGGTACAATGACGGGTATACAGGACTTGTGTGGAGTCTGTCTCATGGGCTTGGAACACACGTCACAGGCAGGCCTGGCCTTAAGGAAACCATGTCCCACCATCTGGATTGACACAAGAGATCAACAAGGGGCAGTGGTCCACTCTACAAAAAAATTCTTCACTTTACAAAAGGACTTGCGGTAGTATTTCTTTAAAAGATGAAGGATAAGGGTTTGATTTACAAAAATTTCATGTACAACTTTTGGAGGGGGGCACTCCTATTGCAGTAAGCCAGCCTCCCATACACACCCTAGATGGCTGAAAGCTGTATAATTGAGGGGTGTCGAAGATTCTGCTAAGTGAGTGTGCATTTGTCTAGGTCTCAGCCAGGGCCTGGTCTCTGACGGGTTTTCCCATGCCCTAGAAGTGGGGCTGGAGTCTGGGTCATATCAAGACCTAAAGATCCCACCAGTAACCGAAGTCAAGCAAAAACCCCAAATGCCAGGATTTCGTAGGACAGGGTTTGCTCAAGGCTGGGATCAGACCAGACCCTCACCAAACAGACCCCGTGGAGCAGGAGAGGAGGACGTGCAGACGGGGCTGCACATCCACTCCCGGCGCCAGCACACGCCCAGCAGCACACTGGCATTTGCTCACCGCGTGAACAGTGATGGGGAGCTGAGAATACAGGCAGGAAGGTCTGAGACACCGCAGGATTTGAACCCACAGCCCCAAACAGCTCTTGCTCAATTTCACTCTCATCATTTTCCCTCTCTCTGTCTTCACATGATGATGCCTGACAGGGCAGGCTCCCGGCTACACTCAGTCCCCACAAGGATTGGGAAGGCAAGTCTCAGTGGGGAGAAAGCAGAGCTTTGATCCCCGGGGTGAGTAGTAAGGGCTACTGGGTTTCTGACCCTCTGGCCCAGCTAGTCGAGAGCAGGCTGTCCACTGGCCATCTTCTTCCACCAAGCCCTGTAGAAGGCACCTCGAGGCTTGTGACTCTGCAGCAGCTGGCAAGCTAGGTGACCCAACATGGGCCTGGGCGAAGATGGGGCTCACCCAGAACTGGGCGGCTACTGGGTACCTACATATTTGGACAGAGTGGCCACACTAGCCACACCAGCCAGCTTGGGAGGGGCTGAAGGCAAGGCAGAGGCTGCTGGATGCCCCTAGTGAGAGCTGACAACCCCAGGTCTCAGCAAAGACAGGGCCCCCAAGCTCCAGGCTGAAAGCCCCGCCAGTCGAGCTCCTTACTTACTTGAGAAGTCTTAGGGTTTGGGGGGAAGGGGAAGACCGTGCCGTCTTCATAAAAAGTACCTACCACTTTGCTCCATTTTTCTGTTTTCCCACTAAGGCAGGAAACAGGAAAGCCACCCCAGGGCCAGTTAGGGTTTCGCAAAGTTCAGACATCAAGGAAAGCTCATCAAGTCCACCGCTGGGCTTCAGAGCTGCCCCATCCTCACCCGACCTGCCCCGAAGCCCACAGTCCCAGCGGCCTGAGGGTGCCCTCCTGGCTGGTCCTGAGTGGCCCCGGCCCCATCACCGAGGACCTGCTCCATCAGCGGCTGGCAGCATGGCAGGGTGCAGGCTGCGCGCCGTGTGCTTGGGCACCGGCTCTTCTGTGTAGCTGTCCGGGCTGGCCGCCCCGTCCAGCGAGCTGCCACAGCTGGAGTTGGGGGACAGCACGTCCTGCAGGAGGTCGTCAGGCGGCGCACCGCCCCCTCCCCCACCACCCCCTCCGCCAGCCCCCACCACGGGGTCCTTGCCAGGCTTGGCCCGCTGGGTACCCTCCTCCTCCTGGTCATTGAGCAGCTTGGCCAGGAAGTTGATGTACTTCATGGCCAAGCGGAGGATCTCATTCTTGCTGAGCTTCTTGTCCGGGGGATGCGTGGGGATCAGCTTGCGAAGCTCGGCAAAGGCCCCGTTCACGTTCTGCTGCCGCCACCTTTCTCGGCTGTTGGTGAAAATGCGCCGCACTACTTTGGTGTGGGGACCTGGTGGTAGGAGGACGGGAGTTCAGAAAAATGAGATGGAGGTCCCCCAAGGCACCTTCTCCCATGGGGAAGAAGAGAAACCACCCATAGGGAGGCTTGGGAAACCTAGAAGGCCTTCTTGCCTTTTACTTAGACAACTCCTACTCAGCCTTTGAACCCCCGTTCCTCTGAGGATTCCCCTCGACCCTACCGGACCAACCTCACCAACTACCAGGCCCTCCAACCCCTGGATCTCCAATCACCTTTTTTCAAAAAAAAGATTTATCTATTTAAGAGAGAGACAGAGTGTGTGCGGGGACGGGGGAGGAGAGCATGCGCAGAGGGCGAAGGAGAGAGTGTCTTTCTTTCAGACTCCGTGCTGAGCGTGGAGCCCAACGCTGGGCTCCGTCTCACCACCGTGAGATCACGACCGGAGCTGAAACCAACAGTCGGACGCTTAACCGACTGAGCCACCCAGGGGCCCCTCCATCACTTTTGATCATTACTGTATGTGTCTAATGCTCGTCTCCCTCGTGGGGCTGTGAGACATTTGAAGACGGGGACCATAGGTCATTCGTTCATTCATTCACTTGTGCCAAAAGCCATACAGCACTAGTGAGAAAGACAAACTCTGGAGCCAGACTTTCTGGATTGAATTCCTGAGTATAACTCACTAGATAGTGACTTCCGGCACATTACTTAAACTCTCTGTGCTTCAGCTTCGTCATGTAAATTGGAGATAATACTAGTAACTAAAATACAAGACTGTCACATGGATCTAATGACTAACCCAGGTAAAGTCCTTAAGCCAATACCTGCCTGAGATTAAACATCCAATACACGTCAGCTATTATCATGCATCCATCAGTTATTTACTAATCACCAGGCACTGTGCCAGGCACTAAAGACAGGGCCCCTGCCCTCACAGAGCATACATTTTAATGGTGATGACGGGTGAACAAGTAGCAAACAAATGAAAATGAACAGGAGGCTGAATGTAATAACAGATGGGGGAGAAGCCACCACATTTAGCTCAGGTGGCTGGGGATGGCACACTGGAGAAGGTGATAGCTATAAGGTAAAACCTTAAGGCTGGTGAACAGCCAGCCAGGAAGGGAAGAGGGAACAGTATGTGCAAAGGCCCTGAGCTGGAAAATGGCTGAAGCCAACCTACTAATTAGCATGGGTGTGATCAGAGTAGGCTGGCTCCAGACTCCACAGGTCTCTGCAGTAAGAGTGGGGACTGTATTCTAAGGGTGATGGAAAACACAGAAGAGGCTGATCATGCTGGCAGGTGGGGGGAACGGAATACAGAGCAGCGGCGAGAGAGAAAAGGACCTACCCTGTGGCTCTCTCCCCAGGAGAGAAGAGGAGACAGGGGCCATGCAGAGGCACAGCCGGAGGCTCTAAGCAGGTGTCTGAGGGCTGCCTCGGGCTCTCCATGTCTACGTGCAATCTCCAGACTTGGCCAATATTTAGACTGTATTCATATGCTAAGACTTGTGGGGCAGCGGCAGACATCAGCATGCACAAACTGAGCACCTATGGTGTTCAAAGCCCCGCACAATGTCCAAGCCTGACCTGGGATTCCCAAAGCCATAGAAAACAGAAGAGGGCCCTGCTAGTGCTCCCAAGTTCCTGGGCTGAGGTGGCTGCTCCCCTCCCCACACCTCAGTGGGGGCTGGGCTCCCAAAAGCCACCAGGAAGCTCTGTGTCCTGAAGGAACTCCCAGTCCTGGGATATTTGTTTTCCCTCTTCGATAACCCCAACCCCGATAACCAGACCTCAGAAAGGAGAAACTAGGGCAGGGGAGAAGAGGTGAGGAGGGCTCGGGGCTGCACCTCGGACCGCCCCCCCCCCCCCCCGCTAAGGAGACTGAGGCCAGGATGGCTCATCTGTGCCAGCGCTTCTTGCTTGATCCTCTTTCTCTCTCTTACTTGCACCTGCACACAGATACACGCATGCACACACACATACACACACACCTGAGATTCCTGAGAGGATCACTCACCCCTGGCCCCCCGTGCCTCTGAAAGCTGGCTCTCCAAGCCCCTATAGGGCCCAGCCCAGCTGACTCTTTGCCGAAGACCAGACCCAGGCTGGGAAAAACACAGCACACCCGCTGGCGGTCCTATCCTGGGCTGCTGCAGAGGAAATAACTCGATGTTCTCTGGCCTCCACACCAGACAGAGGGGCGTCCCTCAGCTGTGACATAAGGAGAACTGTCCCTGCCCAGGAGGACGCTGAGGGAGCTCCTGGGTGGGGAGGGGGCCTTACAACTGCTGTCCCAGTTACAGTTAGCAGAACCTATCCCCAGCCAAGCCCTAAAAACACTTTATCCCATTGGACTCTTAGCAACCTGTGAGGTTCCCCCCTTTACAAATGAGGAAAATAAGAACCAGAAAAGTTCAGCAGCAGGAATCCACACCAAGTTCCACTTCTTCGGACTCTTTGGTGAAATCTCTGGTTTCAAACCTCCATGGACATACGTACTCTGCATACCACACAACACATACCCTCCTCTTTACCTCCGTTTTTGTCTGTTCCTCTCTGGCACCTTCCCAGAGAACCATCCGCCTCTCTGCACCTTCCTCTTCCCTAGTCTGTCCATCCCTCTGCGGCCCTGCCTCTCTGCACCTACTCAGTGTCCAGACAGTACAGGTGACATTTATGAGTAATGGCTTCCCTATACTTCTGCACTCCCCCACCCAAACCCTCACCCCCCTGGCCCCTTCTCCTGCTTCCTCTCCTCTGTGCCTGATTCTCATTGCTTCTGCCTTCTGTGCAAAAGGCCTCTGCCCTGGAGAACTTTGGAGCAGGATCAGCCCCAAAGTTCCAGCAGTACTGACACCTCATCACCCTTCCCTCTTGGACCGACAGCTCATGCCCCAGGCTGCTTAGGGCTTATGAGATCTGTTCCTTGTCCAGACTCCAAGCCCCCTCCCCTCCAGAACACTACAGAGGACTCCTCTCCAGAAGCTCCAGCTCAGTACACGTCCCTCCTACTGACCCCTTGATTAAATCCCAATCTGGCCTCAAGGCCTCAGGTGGCCTTCCTACAGGAGCCCCAGGCCCCACACTGGCAGCTCCAGGGTTGGGCTCCTGGTCCCCGGCTCTGAAGAGCCTGCTCTCCTGCCCCCTGGTGTTGGGTCCCATCTCCTACATCAGGTCAACCCTGGGAAAAGGGACAGGATACTCCTAATTTCCCATCCATCCAACTCCTTCCCCAAGTTTAGCGCCCAAGACTACTCAGGTAGTTCACAGGAGTATTGGCGAGGGCCTTCTGGGGAACGCAGGGGAGGATGGCAGGGTAGGATCTATGATGTCAGGAAGGGAATGCCAGGTCTCAGCCCTGGGTATGGAACAGGGGCCAAGAGGGTCCCACAAAAAAGGGACCTGGGACACGGACCTTGACAGTGCAATTCCAGGCAGGGAGCAGACTCCAAAAAAGGCCTTGGGAGGAGGTACAAGAAATCCCTGAGGCTCGGTGCTCAGAGGCAGGGAGCACCATGTGTGCTGCCCTCCCCTGGGATTCTTGCCCAGTGTAGGAATGGGGACTAGAGCGCAGACGGACGCCAGCTGACCCTAGAGGTTTGCGCTAAATGCCACCCTGTGTCCTCACTGCCATGTTCCCTCTTCCCAGGACGGTGAGGATGGCCCCCAGCCCCACCCATGACTTGGCCTGGTCCTGGGGCAGTTGCAGGGCAAGGACTCCAGCAGACTCGGATTCCCCAGTAGCCCCACCCCCAACTATGTGAGCCGCCTAGGGAGTTGTCCCTGAAGATACGGGTCGGCCCCTGCTGGGGCTCTTGGACCAGCAGGAGGGGTGAGCACAAAGGAAGAGGCAGGGAGACTCACCGTCTGTAATCTCCATCTCATAAGGGGAGGGCCTCCTCTTCACTCGATTGCTGGTGGCAAACATAGGGAAGGCATCTGGCTCCCCAAAGAACCCACTGTGGAAGGGAGTAAGCAGAGCACAAGCTCACACGCAGGTGGAGGGCGGCGGGCTCCTCAGCGATCCCACGTGCTCTGGGTGCCCGCCCCACCCCGGGGGGAACACAAGGGCCACCCTGCTCCCTTCACACCTGAGTCCGGGATAGAAGGAGCATCCCACACAGACAGCCACACACAGTCACAGAATGCTCCCACTCTCTCCCCTTGGGTACGCAAGTGAAGGGAGAAGGGGCCCCATGCCCACACACCGCTCCCCACCCTTCACAATCAGAAGTGAACACACAGAGCAAACCCAAAAATGAATACACATGCTCCCCAGGCAGACGTACTCCCCTTCCCAGACACAAGCACACAATCCACAGGCACCTCCCCTCCCGCACAGGTACTCACACAGGCAGCTGTGGCCTTCACACCTAACGATGTGCAGCCCTAGCACTTCACAGGACACATTGCCCCCCCCCCAGATCACCCCACCTGCACCCCGCCCCATGGGGCCCGTGGACAGACAACAGAGAGTAAACCTGGCCTCACCACTGCTCACATGCCCCTCACTGCCCTACCTGGGCTCTCCATAGCTTCTTCCTCCTCGGGGTCTCCCACTAGCTGCCCCCATTGTCAACCCTTGCCTCACCTTCCGGTCTCCACCCCAAATCTACCCCTATCTCCCCACCATCTCAGTGGCCCCAGCAGGGAAATGGACACCTAAACTGGGAGGGGAGTGCAGGCCCCAGCCCGGAGACCACGGCCCGGGCCGAGGGCAGAGGGGCCCCAGAGGGGAGGAGGGATCCCCGCCCCACCCGGGCCAGCAGTTCGGGGAGGGAGCCGTCTGCAACCACCCTCAGATCCCTTCCTCTCACCTGTCCGCTGAGGGCTGCAGCTTCCAGAAGGATTTCAGAGCAGCGAGCGCATTCAGACACATTCTCACCTGGGCTCCCACTCAGGCGACTCCCTTGGGTGCACACCCCACCCCAGCGCACACACACCCCAACACGCAGCCCGGCCCGCGCTCCCCAGGGCGGACCCTCGGGGTTACGCACACTGGCTCGCGCGCCCGCCCCACGGAGCCCCCGCGCACACGCACACCCGCCCCGGGGCTCGCAACGCCCCCCCCCCCCGGTCGTCCCCCGGGCCTGACCTGCCGAGCGAGGCCAGCGGCTGGCCGAGGCTGTAGAGCAGCGCGCGGCCGGGGGCGGCGGGGGCCGCGAGCGCGGGCGGGCTCAGCTGCACCATGCGGCCGTCGCCGGGCAGCTCCGCGGGGGCCGAGGCGGGCGCGGGCCCCGGGGGCCGGCACAGCTCGGTGGTGGGCACCCGATGGCGCGCTTCGGCCGCCGCCGCCTCGCGGCCCTTTCCGTCCCGCGCGGCGCCGCCCCCGCCGGCAGGGCCGCCCCCCGGGCCTCCGCGCGCGCCCAGCTCGATGACCGGGGGCTCCGCGGGGGCCGCGCGGCTCGTCTCCTTGGCGACGCCGTTGAGCAGGACCAGGTGCGGGGGGGCCATGCGGGCCTCGGCCGCGTCCCGTCCCTCCGGCGGGGGGTCACTGCGGGCCGCCTCGCCCGGCGGCCGCTCCGTCATCCTGCGGGCAGACAGACAGACAAGCGGACGCCCGCTCCGACAGCCGCCCGCCCAGAGCGGTGCGCCGGGGGCCCAGCGGGATTCGCGCCCCGAGACGTGGAAGAGGCGCGCTTGGCGCCACGTGGACAGGCGGCCCGGCTGGGACAGCGCAGGGGTGCCTGCGAGACCCAGGGCCTGGGGGCACGGAGAGCGATGGCAGAGACATTGGAAGAAGAGGAATAGAGCCAGCGAGAGAAAACAGAAGGGGAAAAAGGAGGAAGGAAATGTAGAAAGAGGCGAGAAAGAAATATCATCTCGTCCCCCTGCTCCCGCTGCAGGGGAAGAGGAGGGAACAAACCCCCTGACCCTGTTCTTCCCGCCCCCCTTTAGGTTTTGGCGGGGAAACTGTGGCCCAGAGGTGGGGTGTTTTCCAACCTCTCTGGCTTCTCAACAAGTAGGGAACTCGGGGAAGGGAGGCTAGGAGGCCTGGGGTCCCCTGTGCCCCAGAGGGCGGGGACTGCCGCTCTCCCTTCCCACACACACAGTCACCCCCCGCAGGGGCTGCCTGTCGGCACTGAGCAAATCCACGTGTATTCTGTGCAGCTGCTGGGAACCCCAGGGGCCATTTACACCCACCTAGACCAGAGATGAGACACCAGGAAGGGAGGATGATCCTAGCACTAAGTCCTCCCCAACCGCACATTGCACCCCCTTATGCTCAGCTGGACTTAGAAGTGAGATGGCGTCTGGAAGGGAGGCTTGGCTGAGTGGGTATGGAGCCCAGGCATTTGGAGGCCTCCTGAGGCCACCGGGGTCGAGGCTCCCACCCACCAGCGGGAAGAGGTATCATGAAGGCCCTTGAACTCTTCCATCCCCCTCTCCTGCCTGCATGGTCTTCTGAGAAATGGGAGCAATACTTCATTGATGCACCTAAAAGCACTGTGCAAATGCTCAAGTAAACATTATTATTGGCAAGAAGACTGAGCCAGCGAGGGGACTGCCTTGCCCAAGGTCACATGAACCTATCTGCCACGGAGCCACAGAGCGGGACCAGAACTGTGATCTCACTGTCTGCACTATTCTCCTGGTATACACTCTCCCATGGATATCCCTGGGGCTGGGGATACTCCTTCTCTCCACAACCATACACCAGGGTGACCCGTAGAGGCTCTAATCCCCACTAACGCTCATTGGGGGTGAGGTTGGGGGGGGGGCTTCCGTCATCCTGCTAAGATGTCAGTGGAGCCAGAGGCCCCAAAAGAACCAAAAAACCATGAGACTGGTCTGGAGCCTGGAGTTTGAGGGTGCTTGTGAGTTATTTTAATAAAACACACACACACACACACACACACACACACACACACACACGAAGCCTATTGAGTTGGCTATCAACTCGACAGGCTTCACCAGATGCTCAAAATAAGGCTTCTCCTCTCAGAATTAGATGATTGGGATATTTTGTAGCAGAAAATACACAAAAATCCAATTCAGCCCCAAGCAGAGTCCATCTAATTGCTCACGGGCAGCCATTCCGCCACTGCACAGTCCTGGACCCGGGCTGGCCTGGGAAATGTCCTCCCACCCCAGAAGAGAGATCTGACCCTCTGAAGCCTCTTTGGGGGCTCAGCAAAATTGCCACCAGACACACAAGGTGATGGAGAATGGCCATTTGGATTGCCCCGGGTCTGCCAGCAACGTGGGCTCACCAGGAAACGACCGAATTCCCCAAGACCTGGTGTACGTGAGCCGCCGAGGCAGTGGGTCTACAAGGCTTCATTGGAAGGGAGTTTACGATTATGGCGGAAACAATAGATCTGTATCCACGGAATGGGACTGCCAAGCCACCGGCCACTAGAAACGCAGCCGAGGTATACCAGGCCAATCCTCCCAGCTCCCCTGCAGCAGCGAACTGCACCAGTAACACACCATCCTGTGGCAAAATATACAAGCCCCTATGTGCTGGTTCCCTACCTTACTGTCCCCACACACGGTTGTGTGCCCAGTGACACGTGCTGCAGCCCCAGCTTCTAACCAAGAACAAACAAACGGTGCACACTGCGATCACCAGACTGAGTTCAAGCTCTCCTTATGACACATTTATACCCTCTGATTAATTCCAAGGCTTCATGGAGGCGTAGATCCCCGAGGGGCAAGAGGAGCACATATTCCAGATGTGTTGACCCTGGCCCCAAATGCCCTCCCCAGCCGCCTATAAATATCTATATCTCTGAGGCTCCCTGTGAGAAACCTTTGATTGGTCCCCAGGGTCTGTGGCCAACCTCTCCCCGCCCATCCCCGGACCTTAGGAAAACCCGGCAGGCTGTTCAGCAACCAGGATCACCCAGGCGAGGGGGCCGTGCTCCAGAAAAAGCCAACAGAGGACTCGTAAGCACCTTTGGTTGTAAGGGACTAAACCCCATCACCTGGCTTGGGCTAAGATTACTGGAAAGAAAGCCCGAGTGATTTTTGTTTGTTCATTTGTTTTTATTTGGGGAAGATGAAAGAGGGGGGAGAAGCTCTTGAACAGAATCACACTAGACTATTTGACCATTACAACTCCTCTTTGTGCGGCCCAGAATCAGCTCGCAGCCCCCAACACCGGATCCTCATCCCTGTTGCCAGATGGCCGCAACACTTCCGTTTGTGTCTGAGCAAGACAAGGATCCCAGGAGCTCCTAGGGGGCAGGCACAGGGTCCGGGGCAGCTCCCCATTCCCGGCAGGGAAAATCTCTCATAGGCAAAGAGCCTCCGCGGGTACCTAGGGTAAGAGCTAGCTAGCTCCCTATCCTTCATAATGCACCCACACCCGAACGCCCCCTGGGGGAGCCCCAAGCATGCACGAGAACCAAAATCACCCATGAAGAGAGCCACCCTCCCTGCCACTACGGGAGCGGAGGCTGTTGCAGCACAGCCCCACCCTAGGCCTGAGGCCCCGGCCAGGGCCCACCGGAGTTGGGACTGTGCTAGCCAGGATGGCCGGGCCTTCTTCCTGCCAGTGGCCCGGGCACACACAGCCTGCACCACCCGGATATAGCTGCCCCAAAGTTAGGAGGCTTGTGAAACACCCATGGAACCAGGACTGATGGGAGCAGCCTGGGGGACTAGGTCCAGCTACGTACGTGTTTTAACCCCAGATCGAAAAGGTAAAGGGCCCTGCTAGAAGCCACAGAGGCATGGATCCCAGATTCCCAGCTCTGGGTTCGTCCTCCCCTCACCCAATCCTCTGTCCTACGCCTCCTCCACCCCAGACCGGAACCCAAGGTCTTCCAGGACACTGTTTCCACCGATACTATTCCCCAAAACTCACCTGGGGCATATTTAGAGAGACCGGCCCCTCTGAATAGGATCACCACTCCGCCGGAGAGGGGCGGGAGACCAGGTCCAAGTTGTGGACGGGGGTCTCTGCTTTCCCCCTCTCTCTCGCTGACAGACCAGCAGCTAGGCCACGGTGTGGTCCTGGGCAGTCTGCCGCGCCCAAAGCCAGTTTCCAGGAAAGATGGGGGTGGAGAGAAAGAGGGAGGGCGAGAGGGAGGGAGAGAGAGAAATGGGGGTCAATGGCTGGGAATTACCTCCTGTCCTCACCAACCAGCCCAGGGAACTGCGGATGGCTTTCTGCCCCCACCCTGCAGGTGTTAGAGGCCTCCCCCCAAACCCCCTTAAAAAAGAACCCTACACCTGACCAATCAGAAATAACTATTTACTCCAACAACAACAACGAGCTCAGCACAGACTGCCCGAACAATTTCGGGCCCTCTGACGGGACGTCTGGTTCAGCGCTGCGGGCTGGGTTTGTTTTCTAAGCACTGACGTGTCTATGCGGTTGGCTTGGGAACCCGGGTTCGGGGACAGCCATGGCCACAAGGCCTAGCGTGAGCGGGTGGGGAAATGTGTGTTGGAAAAGGGGAATGTGGTTTCCAGACCCCGATCTGTGGGGAAGAACCTCCGAGGCCCCGTTCTCTCCTTGCCCACCTTTAGCCCAAAGCGAAACCAGAACCCAATTCCAAAGGGTACTTTCCCACAGGAATGGAGTCAACAGCAGGGATCGAAGAGAATGAGGGGGGATACGTGATCTATGTAGGTCCCCTCTTTGCTTCCTACTAATAAAAGAAAGCAAGCAAGCCCCTGCCTTCCTTTCCGCCATCCCCACACGATGATTTTCAATTTTTCAGTGTTCATTAGGGGAGAATCCTAATAATTCCTTGCAGCAATAAACAAGGCAAAGGGAGGGAGGGTAAAAATCCAATACTGCTTCCCAGTGTGTAGCGTAGTGAGATTTAGGTTGCTTCCTCCCCCCAAAAAAGGGGTTTTGTTTAATTTGTTTTGCCTAAATTGTCCAGTTTAGGATTTCACATCGAAATCCTAGGTTAATTCCAAAGGACTCCCTTTGGAAGCCCCGGCTTTGGTGGAAATATAGGAATAATTCTTCCCTGCGGTTTCAGTCCAATGCGGGAGATTTTCTTTCTCCTCGTCTAATCCAGATGGGGGGAGGGGTAGGAAGAAGGGCGAATCCACCCGTTCCCGCGTCTCAGGTCCCGGTTCATTTTTGCATTATGACAGGGTCTCCGTGCCCGTCCCTCTCTCCATTTTCTCTCCCTACCCCAAACCCAGCAACTTAAAAAAAAAAAAAAATAGAGCCTGGGTGGGGGGGGGCGCGCGCTGCTTTGTTATCGTTTCAACGAAGCTCAAAGGAACAAGCCGCTTCGCTTCTGAACGATAACTTTAATTAAATAGGATGATGGTGGTGCTGCTGGTGATGATGGCGATGGTGACATCAGTAGCCACAATAACTGGCAAAACAAAATCTCTTTTTCCCCCGCAGCGAGGGCAGCGCGGACCCCATCGCTGCACAAAGCCCGGCCCGGCCGCCGATGCGACGGACGCCCGTCCCCCCGCAATGTCGCTCTCCCGGGGAGGGGACGGGAAAGTGTTCTCTGGACACGGCCGCAGGGTCCCCACCCGAGGCGCGACTTCCTCCCCCGGCCTCTCCCCGCAGACCCCGCGCAGGTACCCGCGAAACTGACCAGAAACGGATGAAGCCCGGGAGCGGCCGAGGGCCGAGGCGCGGCCCGGCGAGCGCTGCTCCGCTCCCAGCCGGGAAGAGCCCGCCTCCCGCCGGCCGAGCCTCAGGCGCCGGGGCCCCGAGCGGCCTGCGGACAGGGCGGCCGCCGGGCGGGCTCCGACTGCCCATCCGAGCCAGCACCGGCTTCCGAATACATCATAATTTGGAATAAAATGTGAAATCCCTCTCCCCGCCCCTCGCCGCCTCCTCACCTCGCGGCCCCAGCTCCCGCTCGCCCCCCCTCCACCCCCCGGCGATGTGCAAATGCGCTTCCAGAGGACGCAGGCCGCGGGCGCTCGGCCCCGCGCGGGCAGGACCACCCGCGGCGCAGCCCCGCGCGCGGGGAGCGGGGAGCGGGGAGCGGGGCGCGGGGCGCTCACGGCCGGGCCCGCACGATGCCCTGCGCGACACGGCGGCGGCGGCCGCCCCCGGACTCGCGTCCTCCGCGGTCGGCATCCCGCGCGCCCGGCACGACAGCCAGGCCACCCAGACGCAGGCGCGAAGGCCGCACAACCCCACGCGCGGAGCCAGACCCCCGTCGAGGAGGCCAACAGGCCCAGGCGTGCGCGGCGCAGAGGGCGCGGACACCGTCCCACGCGGGCACACCCCGGCCTGGAGGGCCGCCTCGGGAGGGGTCGGGGCCGCCGGCTCGCACACGCACTCACAATCCCACCGCATGCACACAACCACCGGGAAGAAATGAAAACCAACCACCGCCTCGCGCATTTCTGTGTATTGCGTAAGGAAAAAGGGGAAGGAAGGAAGAGAGTCTCCGAGGCGGGAGGGGCGGCGGCGAGCGGAGGGCGTCCGCGCAAAGTGCCCCCCATCGAGGGGCCGGAGGGCGAAGGGGGGAAGGCCTCCCGGAGGGGGGCGCGCACCGCGGCTGCGGAGGCTGCGGAGCCCGCGGGCCTCCTTCCCCCGGCAAAGGGCCGGAATGCTCACGTTTCGCCGCCACGGGGGCCGCGCGTGGCGTCGCTGCGGCCGGGTCCTGGGCGCCGAGCCCCCGCCCTACCCCGCCCCCGCCCCCGCCCCGGGTCCGCGGGCGCCGCGCGCTAATCCCGCTCCCGTTCCCGGCCTCGTTAGCATGGGCCGAGGCGCGCCGGGGCCGCGTGCGCCGCCGAGATAAGGCGCAGCCGCGGGGCCGCTCGCCCCCGATAAGCGCCTCGGCCATTATGGGCCAAATGATTCATTTTAATTTGGCAATTTCACCGGAGGGAGCGGGGGGCTGGCTGCGCGGCGCCGGGAGCGGCTCCGGGGCGCGCAGCGGAGAGAGGGGGCGCGCGGGCTGGGGCGCGGCGAGGCCGGCCCCGTGGGACCCCGAGCCCCCCGGGAACCCGGGCACCCCGCGACCTCAGTCCCTCGTCCTCCCAGACACCTTCCTGCGGCGACGCTCATCCCAGAACTCCGTCCCTACCCCTCCCGGCATTCATTCTTTCTCCGGCGTCCTAGCCGCCCGCGCTCCGACGGGCAGAGCCTCGCCGCAGAGCTCCCCGGCAGCGCCCCTGCACCCCCGCCCTTCAGCCCGGCTCTCCTCCGCTCTGAAACGGGGCGCGCTGGCCTCCAGGGTCACGGGCGGAGCTCGCGTCCGGGCCTCGTGGAGGGACAACTGGTGTCAACGGAGCGGTTTAAGTGTCCCTTCTGCGGAGTTCCAGGCCGAGCCCGGAGCCGGGGAACGTCCCAACCCCCATTGTGTCCGAAACATTTTAATCCCGCTACAGAAACACCATTGGAAGCACTGTGCAAATACCGATTCCTTTCGTTCTCCTAACCAATCCTAGGAGGCTGGTGCTACTCCTACCCTCCACGGAGCGATGAGGAAACTGTGGCACAGAGACGCGGTGAAACTCTGCCTATGTGACGATCGAGTGAGCAGGGAGCCTGGGTCAGAAGCAAATTTTAGGGGACGCCTGGGTGGCTCAGTAGTTGAGCATCCGCCTTCAGCTCTGGGCATGATCCCCCAGGATCCAGAATTGAGTCCCCATCAGGCTCCCTGCAGGGAGCCTGCTTCTCCCTCTGCCTATGCCTCTGCCTCTTTGTGTGTGTGTGTCTCATAAATAAATAAAATCTTTAAAAATATAAAAAAATAAATAGATAAATAAATAAAGCAAGCAAATTTGGCATCAGAATCCTCTCTGGAGCCCAGTTGAAGAAGAAGGGCCACTAGAGCCCAGGGGAGGACAGATCTGGCCTCAACTCATTGCAGGGACCACGATCTTACTATGGGGTAGAAATCTGGGTTCAGTGAGGAGTGTGAGCAACTGGGGCTCAGCCTATGGAGGTGACCTGGTTTCATTCTCTTACTGTGGAGTGGAAACAGCACAGGCTCAAATCTTGCAAGTCACCTGGCCCTGAATCTCCATTTCCTTGTCTGTAAAATGGGGAGATAATACCTACCTTACATATTTGTTGTCAGGATTAAATAAAATGATCTTTGAACGCCGGTGGTGAGGGGCCAGCGTAGCATAGTCTGGTGAGTGAGGGACTCTTGATGTCAGCTCACGTTGTGATGTCAGGGTTGTGAGATCTGAGCCCCCATGTCAGGCTCTGTGCTCAGTGTGGAGTCTGTTTGAGAGTCCCTCTCCCTCTGCCCCTCTCGCTCCTGCTCTCTCTCTCTAAAATAAATATTTTTTTTAAGGCTGTAGTGAGAACAATAATCTCTGGAACCTCAGTCAGCCCAGAAGGACAACATCATATGCACGCACATGGGAATTCTGGTTATTGTTATAGAGGAGGAAATTAAGGCACAGAGAGATGTGACTTGGCCAAAGCTCACAGGGACCCCAGGAAAAACTGAGACCCAAACTAAAGTATCCAGTTCCCAGTCCACAAGTCTACCCACCATAGCAGGTGCTTGGTCCTTCCAGCAGCTCTGGTTTGGAGCCCAAGAACTAAGAAAAAGCCCCTATCTGTCCCAGTCAAGGACTGAGCCCAGAGTGGGTCACAGTCTAGGTACTGGCCCCTCCTTGCCATCAGGATGACTGTGTGTGAAGATACAGTTAATTCAGTGCGGGCTGTTTCTTCTGTTCCCTTCTGCTCTCTGGTAGAAGCCAGGGTGCCCTGTGGATACGGATAATCTACAGAATTTCGTGGGAGAAGGGCCATCCATGTTCTGCGGGGGGGAAAAAAAAAAGTTTAATTCTTGGACTTGCCACAAGGTGTCCCTTGGCCCAGCCACACCCGCCTTGAGCAGGGACCCCGAGGAGGGGCTTCTGGGGTCTGTTCAGCCCCATGGCTCCAGCCCTGCCTCACTCTCTATTATCAGATGGAACCCTCCCTTGTGCCCCAGCAGCCACAGCTCCTTCTCTGCCTTACTGGCCTCCTCTTCTCACATCATTTCTCCAGCCTTAACCTTTTGGCCACTTCCTCCCTGAAGCCTCCCTGCAATGGGGTTGGCTTTCCTCTCTCCCTCCTCTGGTCCCCATGGCCTTCGCCTGGCAGCATCAGTTCACCGAAGGCGGGGAGTCAGGGAGTCCTGTAATTCTGAGTTCCAAGCCTGGTGCCGCCACCCTCGGGCAAGTCAGCTCAGCCTGCTGGGCTCCTGCCAATAGGTGCCGGCCATTCCCACCAGGGAGCAAGGGAAGGGTGCCTGGGCTGAGATCGAAGAGTGGGGTCTGAGGGCAGGTAGAAGAGTGAGCGATGAAGCAGAAGGGCTTAGATGTCATGCAAGGGACAGAAGGGAGTCCAGGGTGGTTGGAGCAAGCCTGTGGTCAATTGAAAGGATTTGGGGGAGAGGGAATCGTTTGTTTATTTGGTTTGAGGGTGGGCATAGGTCCCATATAGGGTCAGATTTGCATTTCTGGGAAGCTCTTTGGCTGCAAGGTGGAGAAGGGGTGCTCCGGGGTGGGAAGAAGACTGGTTCTGACACCACACACCGGTCCAGTCCGAGGGTGGACTCAGGCAGATGAAACCCTCACGTATTTGGGCTACAAAACTGGGTTTGGAAGAATATGGTTAGGGGAATGCGGGAGAATGAGAAATCCAGGGACCCTCCGGGTTGGGGTCTCTCCTCCGCCGGGATGGATGGTGCCGTCGTTCCTGGAGACCGGGTCCTGGGGGCCAAGGGGCCTGGGGAGGGATCTGCATTTGGTTTTGAATTCCCTGAGTCGAGGTGCCTGAGGCACCTGCAGGCTGTGGGGTGCTCTTAGGGCGCACAGTGCCCCCAGCAGGCTGAAGGGACGCCCGTGGGGCCCGAGGCACAGGGCGCCCCGGGCGCGGCGCAGGTTGGGGAGGGGGCGCTCAGCATCCCCCGGGGCGCAAGGCTCCGGACTGTGACTGCCTGGCCGCCGTCCGGGACCTGTCCCCACCCCCAGCCTGGAGCGGGGCTCGTGACGTCTCCGCCCTCCCCCCTGCGCTGTTTCCGACGGTCGGTGGAAAAACGGAAACTGCGCACGGAGCGGGGCGCCGCCCGAAATAGCATCTGGTGCCGGGGGCAGCGCGGCCGGGCGTCCGGAGCGGGTGACGTGGCCGCCGCCCCGCCAGGAAATGCCGCCCCTCCTCCGCGGCGGCCGGGGCCTGGGCCGCAGGAAGCCCCGAGCGCGGGGCCGCGGGGGGCAGCCGGGGAGAGCAGCCCCGCGGTCCCGGGCGCGCGCCGACCTGCCCCCGCCTGCATCCCGGCGCCTCCTCCGCGGGGCCACGCGGGGCTCGATCCCGGGGCCTGGGACGGAGCAGGCGCTCGGCCGCTGAGCCCCGGCGTCCCAGCCGCGCTTCCTTTCAGTACGTTTCTGTGGGGGCCCAGTGGGCCAGGTAGGGTCCGAAGCTCCTCATAGCTACTAATTCAGTGAATTCTTGCAACAACCCGTAAGGGAGGGGCCACCATTCCCCCGTTTTGTAGGTACAGGTAGCCAACTGAGGCTCGGGAGGCTGGAACTTTGCGGAGAACGCCCGGCTGTAAGTGCCGGAGGCAGGACGGGCCCAGGCCCTCCGGCTTGCGGCGATGCTGCGTCCAGGGCAGCCTGAGTTCCCTCCCTGCTGCCCCACTTGTCCGTTGTATGTCTCCAGGAAAATGGCTCAATCTCTGTGTTTCACTTTCCTCGTGGGTAGAAGGGAGGCAGTCATTGTCTATGCATCACAGTGTCCTCGTCACAGGATTCTTTTTAGTGGTTAAAACTCCAACTTGGGGCCCCTGGGTGCCTCAGTGGTTGGGCGTCTGCCTTCAGCTCAGGGCCTGATCCCGGGGTCCTGGGATCCAGTCCCACATCGAGCTCCCCGCCCCCCATAGGGAGCCTGCTTCTCCCTCTGCCTGTGTCTCTGCCTCTCTCTGTATTTATTTACTCATAAATTACTCTTTATGAGTAAATAAATAAAATCTTTTTTAAAAATTAAATTTAAAAAAACCCTCCAACTTGAAGAGGTGTCATGGTTTCCCCTCCACTTCCCTATGACCATTGTCTCCAGTTTGGTCTCTATCCCTGGCTCAGAAAGAACCCTCACCTTGCCAAGGAGCAGGCCAGAGACAGAATTCCAAGCTGAAATGTGGGGAGTCATCTCTGTGCTGCCAATCCCCAGCACCAGAGTCACAGCTCTCAGGGACAGGAAGGGGGTCACTCTAATTCCACGCTTGGAGTAACCATCAGCATCACCTGGGAACTTGTTACAAAAGCAAATTCCCAGGCCCTACCGCAGGCCTGATACATCAGAAACCCTGGGAGCGAGACCCAGAAGTCTGCCTCTCAACACGACATCCAGGTGATTCTGATGCTTCCTGAACTCTAAGAACCAGGCTCTGGTTTATAGCTGTCATCGGCAGGAAAGGCCACCATAAAATAATTGAATGTGTTAAGAAAGCACTGCGCTGGGATCCCTGGGTGGCTCAGCAGTTCAGCACTGCCTTGGCCCAGGGCGTGACCCTGAGGTCCCGGGATCGAGTCCCCGTCAGGCTCCCTGCATGGAGCCTGCTTCTCCCTCTGCCTGTGTCTCTGCCCCCCCCTCTGTCTATCATAAATAAATAAATAAATAAATAAATAAATAAATAAATAAATAAATAAATTTTTTAAAAAAAGAAAGCACTGCGCTTCCTACTTTGAAGCTATGTCCCTTTCCCTGACCCACACTTCTTACCAGAACAATCAGAAGACAAGCTGCTCCCCAAACGATGGAATGTCCAGCGCCTTCACTCTGACCTCACAAGCAGACTTGCCCAGACAGCTGTGCCGCCAGTGGTTTTGCTCCTAGAGTTATCAGGAAAGGACAGAACACGTGTGCTGCCCCCAGCCCTCTGGCTAGCAAATAGTTGCTGGTGGTCACTGAGGCCCTGGCCCTTGGGTCAGGTAAATACTTGGGGACGAGACCCTCTATGTCCTGAGCACCTGCTGGGCTTACCTGCACCATCCCTGCTTCTGCCTCTCCTTTGCCATGTCCTCTACGATAACCCCACCAGGCTGCTAGTGTGACCCCAACTTTGAGGATAAGGAAACAGGTTCAGCTTACCCAAGGTCGCTCAGCTGGTCAGCGCCCACATGTCCTTTTCATTCCTGCTAGCTGTGATGACGTAGTTGCTACCTTGAGAGAACTACTTCAAACTCATGCACACTGGAGAGCACTGTGATATGTCCCAGTTTAAAGCCCTTGTGACTGTAAAAACTAAAAACAAATAGCCAAAAATCTCATGCAAAGATGCCCAAATTTACATTAGGGAAATGTCAACTAACACTGCAATGAGATACCCATGACAACCAACTAAAATGGTTAAAACTTAAAAGATAGTAGGGCTACCCAGGTAGCTCAGTAGGTTAAGTGTCTGACTCTTGATTTCACCTCAGGTCATGATCTCAGGGTTGTGAGATCGAGCCCCATGGCGGGCTCCACACTCTGTGTGAAGTCTACTTGAGATCTTCTCTCTAGGGCAACCTGGATGGCTCAGTGGTTGAGCGTCTGCCTTGGGCTCAGGTCATG